TTTTATCTCAATAATTCATTAGAGGACGTCAAACAGTGTATTTTGCAATTTGTTTCGTGTCGATATCACCATCCGTTGCGGAGATACAATTGAAAATCTTTAACTTAAAATTTCTTTAAAGATACTACGCGTAGTATTACTACAAAAAAACTTAGGAAATAGAGTATTGCGTGTGTATGCGTAAGGAATGGCCGAGTGACCCACAAAATATTCTTGGAAACCAGATACTCAGTCCGCGTTTTTTGCGCGCCGAACATAGCAGTGGCTCCCATTCGATTCTTTACATTAAGTGAGATATTTTATAAATGCTTTAAAAATTGCAAATTCATGTCAATTATTAACACAAGACGTTGTTTAGTAGAGAATTGTATATTATTTTACTGTAAAATCAAATCAGCATCGAATTTATGTATGAATTACTATGGGTTTAAAGGAAATATTAAAAAGTGCGTTATGAGCACCATTATCCACAGATGTTTCTTAAAGTTTTGTACGAAAGGCACTTTAATATGTTTATTTTTGATGTTTTAACAAGTGCAATTACAATTTGGGAATAAAAGTAAGTCTATTTAAGAATATTAACGTTGCAATAAATTTTTGTAATTTTATAATTAATCTTTTTTTAATGTAGAAAATTAATGGAATGACAGTGTGATTTTATTATTACACTAAAAATTATGTATTATCTATTTTTATATAGAAATGATGCTTGAATAAATATAATACACAATTTTCATATCAGTGATTATTATGTATTATTGGTTTAATGTCATTTTAAGATCCTGGAATCGTCTTAAAATTGTAAAGCAATGAATTAATTAACTGATATTAAATATAATTTAAATAATAACATCAGTTTTCTTAATCATATTATCTCGAAACCGGAACTTCTTATTAAATTTTCTCCGCCACTGTTGCAACCGGAGCTTGAAATTGACCTGACACAATTATGCAGTTTTGAAATCTGAACTTTCACAATTGCTCGGTTTCGAAATTTCAGCTTGCACTTATGGTGTTACATTTACTATAGAGACAGCAATTAAGTATCAGCGATTGCTCGAATACAAAATTTTATCCAAGTTGCGAAACAGTATTAGAAACATTAAACGTGCATTAATAAAATAGAAAAATGGTATAATTATTAAGACAAAAATACTTTAACTTAAGAGAATGCAGAAAGCATCAAACCTTAGGAAAATTAAAGAGCCAGGATATTATTAAATATATTTATGATTCAGTAATTATTACCAATTATTGAAGCTTTACGAGTGATTAAGTTTACGGTAACTATTAAAAATAGCAAAAATGTTTGGAGCTGATGAATCTACTCAACCTACTGAAGGTATTGTCGTGCTACATTATCGACAGCTGGTTAAAGTTAATTTATCTGAACCATTTACTTATAGAGCAACTTTCCTTCACGAGGCGACAGAGACAGAAGAGTAGTGAGGGTGGACTCGCCGCCAATTTTCCATTTATTTGGTCAAGCGATGACGTCGAAAGGCTGAAGTTCGCTTTGCCGGACAATATTTCAACGAGAGGAACGTTAGAAGTCTCGCAGCTTTCCATTGGAAGAACTTAATGTCGGGGCTCTAAAAAAGAAAAGAGTGATCCTGCTCTTGCCTTTATGCTGTCAGCATTCAAAGCGAGAGTATCGAGAGTATCATCCAGAGCATCGTCAGGAATGAAGTATTATCAGATTAGTTGATTTTTAAAATTGAAGTTCTTCAAATGTTTCGCTTTTAATAAGTTATTGAAAATTAGAACATTATTGCATGTAGGGATTAAAATTGATACTTACAATTGCCTTAGCATTACTAATAACGTAGATAGTAAAACAAAGTTTCCGGTTTATTTTCAAGTATATCAATTAAAGAATAATTAGTATTCCTTCTTATGTAACAATTTAAATGGTGGTTTATAATTATTAGAAGTACTAAATAAATTTGTTGCACGATTTACCGTAATGAAACAGCTTCCTTTATTAAATTCGCATTGAATTAACAATTGCATACGGTACATTAGTTAGAAATTGTTTATAATTTTTATTTAACATTTGCAAATTAACGTTCTTTTTGTGTGAATAAAAAAATGGAACTTTCGGGCCACCACAGGAATCAAAGAAAGGACTTGAACGCAAACATTGTTGGAACCTCTATTTCTGATTGCATCACTATTAGAAGCGTTATTTCGAACGCAAACATTATTACAAGCACTACGCTTGAATATAACATTGTTACGAGCGTCATTCTCGCTTGTAACATCGTTAACTCGTATTATTTTCAAGTGCACATCGTGGCAAACATGTTATCGGGTTTGCAACATTGTTGCCGCGAATCGTTCTCGATAAATTGAACACTGTTGCAACGACGCGCTGATTTGCAACATTGTAACTCGCGCAGGCTCCCGAAAATTGCACATTGTTGCAAACGCGTTCCTGGTTTGCAACTTTGTTACGGAAAGTCGCTCCCGAAAATTGCACATTGTTGCAAACGCGTTCTGGGTTTGCAACATTGTTGACCACGAAAATCGCACATTGTTGCACGACGCCCCGTTTTGCAACAATGTGCAATTTTCGGGAGCTGCTTTCGGCAACAAAGTTGCAAACCAGATTATTCTTTTGCTACTTTGTAGCCGAAAGTCGATCCCGAAAATTGCATACTGTTGCAAAGGAGTAACCGCGTTTACAACTTTATTGCCGAAAGTCGCTCCCGAAAATTGCACACTGTTGCAAAGGGGTAACCGCGTTTGCAACTTTGTTGCCCACGAAAATCGCACATTGTTGCACGACGCCCCGTTTTGCCACAATGTGCAATTTTCGGGAGCGACTTTCGGCAACAAAGTTGCAAACCAGATTATTCTTTTGCTACTTTGTAGCCGAAAGTTGATCCCGAAAATTGCCTACTGTTGCAAAGGAGTAACCGCGTTTACAACTTTATTGATGAAAGTCGCTCCCGAAAATTGCACATTGTTGCAAACGCGTTCTGGGTTTGCAACTTTGTTGCCCACGAAAATCGCACATTGTTGCACGACGCCCCGTTTTGCAACAATGTGCAATTTTCGGGAGCTGCTTTCGGCAACAAAGTTGCAAACGCGGTTACCCCTTTGCAACAGTGTGCAATTTTCGGGAGCGACTTTCGGCAACAAAGTTGCAAGCGCGGTTACTCCTTTGCAACAGTATGCTATTTTCGGGATCGACTTTCGGCTACAAAGTAGCAAAAGAATAATCTGGTTTGCAACTTTGTTGCCGAAAGCAGCTCCCGAAAATTGCACATTGTTGCAAAACGGGGCGTCGTGCAACAATGTGCGATTTTCGTGGGCAACAAAGTTGCAAACCCAGAACGCGTTTGCAACAATGTGCAATTTTCGGGAGCGAATTTCGGCAACAAAGTTGCAAACCCGGAACGCGTTTGCAACAATGTGCAATTTTCGGGAGCGAATTTCGGCAACAAAGTTGCAAACCCGGAACGCGTTTGCAACAATGTGCAATTTTCGTCATATTTTTGATATTTCTGAACTTTCTTGTGGGTCATCCATGAGTCAGACATCGAAATTTGTCCAAGCAAGTAGTGGAAGTCAACCATTTCTGAGTCTCTCGTAATTTTTCTGCGATTTGTAAGTAGTGCAAGTCAACCACTTCTCGGAAGCTCGAAATTTTTTCGGAATTAGCCAGTGGTGCAAGTCAAACACTTCTTAGATAGTCCAAAATTCTCCAAGTCCGCAATTCGAAGCGAAAAGAGCAGCTTTATGTATTAATTTAATAAAATTTCTACTTTATTTGCAAGTGCTTTGACCGAAGAATAATTAGCTTTTCTTGTTAAATAAAAATTTACATGGTAGTTTAAATTACATATGGAGGGTTTCAGGCCACCACGGGAATTAAGGAGAGGACGTCAATATCAGGAAAAACTGAAGAAATGCAGTTATTTATCAAAAAATCAATTATTTGTTGCAAGACAATATACCATGGCTACAATATACCAGTATTTTTTCACAGCATTTTACAGTCTATTCATTTCTCCCTTTCACACCACACCCATTTCCTTTTGCGAAGCACTGATTCTTTAAATAATATACAATAACGTTGAAAACGTAGACTAAATACAGACTTATTGAATCTGCCTATGCTATTGTAGGTATAAACTCATCTAAAGAGACCTAAGTTACTGCATGCTGGAAACTCAAACAAAATTTTTAATGTAATCCTTCGTACAATAGAAGGACGTGATAAGAGTATGTTTCTACGAGATAAGCTATTTT